TCAGCCGCGGGGAGAGGATGGGCAGCCTTCAGCCGCAGATCTGGAGCGAGGCCACCAGCTCCTATCCCAGGGACTGCAGCTACGGGAAACCAGGCGTGAACCGCGGCGAGGACGAGGAGGCGCTAAGCGGAGAAACAGAGCTGGCGGCGGCAATGGGGGTGGCTGCGGGCGCCAAAGTGACGTGCTGCAGGAGCGTGGGAGTGAGCATGACGGGGCTCTTTGATTTTTCGTTTTACCAGCGTGTTTATTTGGACGTATGCATACTAGCTATGCGGAGGTAGGCGTGTACTCATCGTGCTTGATGCTTCATTTGAGTTAATAAAATTCATCTCTTATCAAAATAAAAAATATACAGCTTGAGAAGTAGCATGGTTTTTCGTTCTTGGCACCACATGTCATTGGCTTGTACATCGTCCATGCGCCATCTATCGGGGATTATATTGCTTTGTCATGGGCCAGCTGAAGGATTCGTAGAGGAGCGACATCGCCAAATACTACAAGACACAGTACAAGAGTATTACTGCGACTCCATCGGAATCTCAGAAGACCGGCCGGCCCTCGCGCGCACTCGCAGCCTCCGCCGCTCCGCATGGCCCTAAGCGAGTGTTAGGAGCGGCCGGCCGGCCGATTTTCGTTAGCATTTCACTCAGTTTCTTCACTCGTTTCTGATCTTCTTGATAGCTATAATCTTGACTTAGCCGTGCGTGAGTGGCGGCCGAGCCGTTGTGCTGATGCATGCATGGTTGTTAGGGCAGCTACAACAGGGACGCTTAGATTGGACGCTAGGATTAAATCCCCAGTAGTTAAGCCTAATATCCTGGCCGTTTTTTCCTATTCCCGGCTAAGCCCAGGATTCATGCTAGCGTCGACGCTACTTCTGGCCCCAGGCGCTAGCCCGTTTTTTCTTTCGAGATATGACACAGAATGCGTCCTGTTAAGTACCTGTACCTTGTCATTGCCGTTGAAGGACTGGACGCTAACACCGCTGTTACACGATTTTTCTTTTCTTGTATTTCCTTAAGCGCCCATGCAAGCGCCTAGGCATTGAACATGCCTTAGCTGCACAGCCGGATCTTGTTGATCGTGGAGAGATTCCAGGTGAGTAGTTAGTGCATGGGTTAGTGGCTGTTAGGCTAGTGCGTGCGTAACTTGCCGTGTGGCCGAGTGCATGTAGCGGCAAGCCAAGTCAGTGTGTGCGTGCGTGCGTGGTAGCTATCCAGGTGTGTGTGCACGGGTATAAAAATCCAACCCATATGTATTGGTGAAGGTGCGCCGATGTGTTGCCGAGCCACGGCTGCGGTATGAGCCGAGGGGAGGAGCCTAAGGAAGATGTAGTCTTCATCAGGACCGTGGTATACGTCCGGTCGATGTGAGAGTTCTTCCGAAGTTGTGCTGCGTGTGTGTGTGTGTACCTCCATGTATGTAGTTGAGTTGAATAGAAGCCAACATATATACAGGCCGTTCGGCGGCCGGGGCGTTCGTCGCTGGAAAAGTTTGTTCATCTTCTACCACTTTCGTCCGAGCAAGTGAGAGTGAGAGGAGATGAGTGGTGAGCTGGCCAGGGGTTTGTCCCTACACTTCTGATCCGTTTTGCTTTTGCTGCAGGCGGGACTGGGCAAACCTCGCCGATGGGCCGGCGGGTCTTGTTGCCGAGTGCGTCCTCGCCAGCGACGTGGCCGGCAATGTCCGCCTCCGCGCCGTGTGCCACCCTTGGAGGCGCCACACGACACAGACCCGCGGGTGTACGGCCTTGACCGACGCTGCCATCCTCGGCAGTGGATCATGCTCCAGGAGGAACTCGCCCCTTCCCACCGCCGTCGCTTCCTCAACGTCTCCACCGGCGAGTGCATAAAACTTGATCTTCCAGAGCTCCGCGACCACGAAACACTTGGGCGCACGTCCGAGGGCCTCCTCTTCCTGCTCCACAAGCGCACCAACATTCGACTACTAAATCCGCTCACGCGCCACCTCGAAGAGCTCCCGCCACTGATCACGCTGCTGCCTCCTTACCGGTACACCTACCTCATCAGTACTACTCATTTCGAGCAATGCATGACAGCGTGGGGCTGCGGCATCACCGATGATTCCGTGGTCGTGTCGTATTTACACAAACTTCGCATCCTAGCCGTCGCCAAGCCTGGCGATGAGCGCTGGACATCGGTTTCATACAAAAGCCATCCGTCAAACCTTTAGTGTTCTTGGGCCGTTTTTATTGTGTCACCGAGGATAATCTCATGGTGCTAAAGACGAGTCTGGATCAACCACCACGGATGGAGGTGGCCGCCGAGCTGTGTAGGCCACTGTGCTCAACTTTTCATAGCATGCACATGGTGGACAATGGCGGGGAGCTAATGTTGGTGCACCGCATGCTCCGGAGTAGCCCCAGGAGGTTCGACTACGACCTGTATCGACTGGATTTGGAGATGGGGAAATTTTTCCCGGCAAACAGCTTCAATGGACGTGCACTGTTTATGGCTAGACATTGCTCTCTTTCGGTGTCCACAAAAGTTTTTCCCTCCATCAGTTCTGACACTATCTACATGAGCTTCGATTTGGATGAGAGAGTGAATATGCAAATTCAAGCCTACAATGTTGTGGTTAGAGGTACCGAACTTGCAAGCTACATCCTGAACAGCTCCACGGCAGCGCTGCCGTCGCCGCTTACTCTTGTTGACTGTCTCTCCTTGTGCAATGTTGTCAAACTAAATTGCAAACACTTAGCATCAGTGATTTGAGTTGCAATTGTATTTGTTCTCGTTTAGCTATTGTACCGGTATGAATGGGCTTCATACAAGCAATTGTCCCAGGGGCTCGACCTTCCATTGTAATCTCATTTTTAGGAGGGTGTGCCTAACTGAAAGCGTGTATTTTCTTCCATCAATTCATTCTGATGCAAGTTCTTCTGCATTTTCTCGGGGAAAAAACTGGTTCTTCATTGTTCTACATATGAACGAATATTTTGCTTTATCTTAACTTTGTCACGATATTAGGCTTGGGTTATAGGATCTCGATTAAAACACCTAGTGCTCTATTTTTTTGTGGGAAAAAAATAAAAAAATAGAGCACCTAGTGCTCTATTAATACCAAGTCTAGTGGTAACTCTGTCCGCACATATTTGAACCATAGTTCAAAATATTAAATCCCCGGAGCTCCGTGATCCGCCTGTGGTTCCTCATCATTGGCATTGCCAAGCCTGGCGATGAGCGTTGGACACTGGTTCAGATCGGATATTTTCGAGGTACAGCTCCATGATGTTCTTAGGCCGCTGGTACTACACCAGAGGACAACCTCATGGTGCTGGAGACGAGGGCAGATCGGCGACCACGGATGAAGGTGGCTGCCAAGTTGCGGAGGCACGTTTGCAGGACGGCGGGTACCGCGCACCTCGTGGACAACGGTGGAGAGTTAATGGTGGTGCACCGTATGCTTTCTCGTTCAGATAACTCAAGGTACAAAGTGTATCAACTGGATTTCGATAACAAGAGACTACTCCGGGTCAAGACCTTGAGCAAGCGGGCGCTGTTCTTGGCGATGCATTACTCTTTCTCGGTGTCCATGAGGGTTTTCCCCTCCATTTGTGGTGACACTATCTATTTTAGCTTTGATCTTCAGGAGAGATTTGATGAGCACATTGAGGCCTACTGTCTCACCGACAAAAGCAACAAGCTGGCAAACTACATCTTAAACAGCACTTTGTGCAGAGTCGTGCCATCGCCGCATAGTGTCGCTGACTGTCTCTCCTGCAATACTTTCATAACTTCAGGATTGTATTCCAATTGGTTGGCATCAATAATAACTTCAGCTACAAAGTGAGCATAGATTAGATGGTTAGGTTTCTTGTGGTGGAACCAGCCTGCCGGGTTTAAGTCCAAGACTTGCACCGATGTGTGCATTTTCCTGAATTTATTCTAGGCTTTCTGGTGATGTTCGTTCAGTGGAAGAGGACGTTTTCATTGACTACGAGGCATCTGTTATGACTTCATCAATCTCAAGATTTGCTGGCTTGGTCTCTCGGAGGTGTTCACAAGGATAGGATGTGTGTGTGTTCATGAGAAAGAGTGTGTGAGCATTTGCATCTGTACTGTGTTTTAAGAAAAATAAAAGAAATGATTTTACCCCTCTGATGGCCTGTGTGGCAAGTGTGCCTATATTATATTCAAGCATGTACACCATGTGCAGTAGTCCTTTGGGAGTATATCCCGGATATTTAGCATTTGTACCTGAAGTTGGTAAGCATATGTGGTATGTGCAGTTGGGCCAAACCTAAAGTTAGGGTGTCTGTTTCCCTCCAGTAGGCTCGACTTTCTCTTGCAATCGCATGTTGGGTGTCTTTTTGTGGACTTGTACATAACATTTTCTGTCAATTCTATGTATCAAGACGGGTATTTCGAGAGTTTGAGTGTCGAATTTTGTGTTGGATTCCTTCATGAATGTGCTGCCTCGGAACATTCCTGATATACACGAAGAAAGCAAATTCTTCTCACTGTCTTGAATGGGCAAGGAACTGGATGAGGCACAACATACAATGGAAGTTGATAAACCAATGGCATGAGCCTAATTCGTATATGAGGGATGGCAGAGAGTAAAATGGCAACACAAATTTGGCTACTAAATAAGTATCATTGAAATTAGCAAGAATTTCCATAGAAAATATCATGAAGTACGCACAGAATATTTATATGCCCTCTGAATATTTGAATGAATAACAATCTACAATATAGTATTGCACTTCATCCATGAGACCATGAACAACCAGGACAGGTGCTTAAATTCGGCTTCAGACAAAACACCTCAAGAAATTATAACAAAAGTTACATGCTTCGTTTCACGCATCATGTGATGCAGAAGCTTATGAATTACATGGACAGTCTTATGATTCTCTCAAAAATAATGTTTGATAATTCTACACCATCACAAGAATCATCCCATGTGTGTGTTCTGCCTTTTTCTGACATCGTCTCACAGCAGAGCAAATCATAGATAACTGAACGGTTCCGATCCTAGTAAACCTCAACGTGCCATTGCTTGTTCTTCTTGAGCTGCGATAGCTTCTGATCCCAGCTCTCCCCTCTCTGCTCTGCCACCTTCTTGAGTGTATCCTGAATCCCTGGCATCATTCCTTTCAAACCACAGAAGTAGATGTGTGCACCGCCATCCAAAAGCTTGAAAATCTCATCGCTGTACTCCTCAATCTTGTCCTGAACGTACATCTTGCCGCCACTCTTGTTCTTCTGCTCCCTACTTAGTGCTTTGTCAAACCTACAAATTCAACACACTCAATTATATTATATTCAACTAGTTTATTCAAGTGGTGGCACACCCAATCTACGATGACGGAAGCATCCAAGTCAATAACAAAATGGCGTTTGGGGCATGTGTAAAGATAATAACAGAAACAAGGTATGACGATGGAAGAGGTCTAATAACCTGAAATTGTCTGGATACTGCTTCAGGTAGCTTGTGAATTCTTCGTCATAAAGAAGGCTGTCCGAATTAGCCACACCAAGGAAGAGCCAAGCCAGGCCACCAAATCTGAAATTTGGGACATCTTCCATGAACATGCGGCGTAGGTACCCGCGGTAGGGAGCAACACCAGTGCCAGTGGCAATCATGATATGGGTTGCATTTGGATCACTCTCAGGTAGGAGCATTATTTTGCCAGAGGGCCCTGGGGTCAGAATGAAATGACAGTGAGATGCATAAACTTTAGAACATCCATCATATGCCATGAACTATGAGACCCTGTTCGGTAATCCACCCACTCCTGGAATCTGCGGAGCGAGGAAACTGCAGCTCCGCCGGCTCCGGGAGCAGAGTTGTGGAGCGGAGCGATACCGAACAGGGCCTGAGTATACACAATTCTACCAGAAAGAGTATGTGCATACATGTTTGGTTTGTATCTCGGAACAGGAAGCAGCACATTGTTTGAAGGACATTTATTATATGCATCAAAATTAGACTTTTATCCAAAAATAATAATCAAGTACGACAAAACTAATAGAACAGATCCAGTCGGCAGCAGCCAGCAGGACAGAACAAAGATAGCTATTAGTGTCAGCGATGGCCATACTGTAAGAGGCTCTTGGATATAAAGGATTTATTATTTGTCTGGCTAGTGCGTCAGAAGTTACCCCCAAAAAAAAAAGTTGCTCTTATTCAGAATGTACACTGTAAACCAGTGGCACTGTGAAAAACTCCCCTCTTTCTTAATGTTATGAAGAATGGTTACTTCCTACTCCATCTTAATTTACATCCTACACAATGTGTATATATGTCTAATGCTCTTTTTGTCAAAGGATTCAGAAATAGATGGTTTAAGACAAATGAACATTAGGCACATGTAAACGAGAAAACTTAGCCCTTTTAGAGTTAGAGGCGCTCATATAAAACTGCTAGCACACAAGAAAGCCTTTGCATCCATCTAAAAGAAAGCAACCAACCTGTCATCTGAATCTTGTCCCCAGGCTTTGAGTTGCATAGGAAATTACTGCAGACACCATTCTTCGAGGGGTCCTCCTTGCCAGTTTCAGGATCATAATAAACTGCACGGCGAACACATAAACTGGCAGTCTTCCCGTCAAATGAATCCCCATACCGAGTAGATGCAATGGAATACAGCCTGACATTCTGTGGGTTTCCAGGCTTCTTTGGGTTCTCTCCCTGATAGATGCACACAAGGTTTGATGAGCAATGAAGATGGGTGGTGAAAACAAGGATGGACGACAGCAAGGTAATGAATAGATACTTGGTACTTGAGTTAACCTAAAGATGGTGAAAACATGGACGGCAGGAAATGCTATGAACAGATATGTGGTACTTGAGTTAACCTAAAACAATTCTCCTACACAAAGCATCAAGCAGCATACTCAAATCAATGTCTATAAATTTGAACATAATTCAAGTACAGCATAACTTGATACGTTTATCCTCTTATTTAATAATACAACCCCTGTTCTGTTCAGTATTCACTATTCAGTAAGACAGACAGAGGATGGAAGAGAAAGTGGTTGAAATGGCTAAACACTTACTGGAGGAACAATCCTAAGGTAATTCTCCTATAATAAAATCAAGCAGCATACCCAAATCAATGTCTGTAACTTTGAACATAATTTTTTTCAGTACAGCACAACTTGATATGTTTATCCTCTTATTTAGCAAGACAAAGAGTCCCCTGTTCAGTATTCAACAAGACAGAGGATGAAACTGAGAAAGTGATGGAATGGGCTGAAGACTTACCGGAGGAATAATCCCATAGCTCTGCCCCTCCCAGTACGGCACATTGCCACCATGGTCGATGACGACGTGGCACGTCTCTCCTGGGGCGTTAGGGCCTACCGCCCGCTCAACCGAGACAATGGTGGCCGTGTAAGGCCCCTTGGGCTTGTAGGTGTTGAGCGGCGGCTCCTTGGCGCTCTCCAGGTTGAGGGGCGCGACGGAGACCTTGCTCTTGCTCGACTGCTGGACCGCCCTGCAGAGATGCCTCGAATGTGCCGCGGCCTTGCTGTCGCACGCCAATGCGGTGCCGATCCATGATTTGTTGCTGAAGCTGAGACTGTTGATGCCCTGAAATGTAGCAAAAGGTGAAATCAGCATACTGTTGATGTTGGGGGCGCCCCTGAAAAGGCTGTGAGCTGGGTATCCACGGCATAGCAAAGCAAGAGCCCTGAGGAACTACTGAATGCGCATGTACTGCTACTGATATGTGTGTCCTATTTGTAAGTTATGCTAGCTAATATCTGCAATCGAAGCAAGAGCGCTGAAGAATTACTACTGAATGTGCATCTACTACTACCAGTACAAGTGTGTCTATGTGCAGGTGATACTAGTTGATCTGTGCAGGAAGCCAAAGGCGCAGCTAGCGGTATCGAATCTCGTGCCTAAAACTGCTCCCACTAGTTCACGCACTAGCACACGATTGGCGCTGCGTAAAGGGATGTGGAGACGCGCACCTGGATTCCGGAGCTCCTGACGGCGCGGTCCGAGCCGCCGACGGGCGCGGAGAAGGCCACCTGCAGAGGGAGGGAAAAGGTGAGAACTCGGCAGCCGTCGCCCAGGAGCGGGACGGGGTCGGCGGGGACGTACCTGGGACGCGGCGGCGGTGGCCATGGCCGACGGACGGATGGTTCGAGGGATGGAGGGGATGGGGAGGAGGGGTTTTGATCTGGGGAAAGGTGGGGGGAGGGGGCGGCGGGTTTATAGGAGGGGATCGGAGCCGGAGGCCCTTGAGGCGACGGAAGGGACGGCGACGTCCGTCCGCTGCTGGCGCTGGCTGCTGGTGGTTGGTGACGGCGACGCTAATAAAAAAAAAATCATCAGTCGCCCCCTAAATTTGTCTACTAAATAAATTATTCTGGACCGTCGATTAGAGTAATCGACGGGGCTGTGATTAGATTAGTGGATGAAAGTTTCGACTAGGTTAGCTGATGATCTGATCAGCCGGAGGCAGGTTGCGTGGCTACTTGGCTGGCTGGCTGCTTCGAGTGCCTCCTTCGGCCGCTTCAAAATTGAAATGGCCTCGTGGTGGCCCTCAAGGGCCATCTATCTTGCCTCGCTTGGCAAAGTCAGACGTGCAAACCTGGCTCAGGAGTCAGAACAGGTGAACGCATGAGGTGGCACAGCCCACAGGTGTGCTCCAAGTAGCCACCAGGGAGAGACCGATGGCGTGCAGGTAAAGTTGAACCTGCAAGCGAATCAACCTATGGTTGAGTTGGTTAGGTGGACAGTGGTATCCCCAATCCACCAGGGTTTAAATCCTGGTACTCGCATTATTTCTGAATTTATTTCAGGATTTCCGACGATGCGCTTTCAGTGAAAGGAGATGTTCCCGTCGACGACGAGGCGCCTACGGTGACTTCGTAAATCTCAAAATGATATGCTGGCTCAATCTCTCAAAGATGCTCATGGGGGTAGGGTGTGCATGTGTGCGTTCATAGGGGTGAGTGTATGCGCGTGTATATGAGCGCTTGTGTCTGTACTGATGCTCAAAAAAAACGTTGAACCTGCAAGGGCAGGTGTGATGGTACCATAGGCCAATGCCATGAAAGTTTTTTTTTCCCGTGCTCCGGCTGGGAACTAAGGCCTGGTACAATGCATGGTGTTTACGGAGGTCCTTAGTAACACAAATTGAGTTTTTTTAAGCACAAAGTGCTTAGGTCTATATGAGGGGTGTTTAATTAAGTGTCTGCTCTCTACTACTAACCAACGACACATCTGATTTATTTTTATAAACATCTCCCCTAAGCATCTTGCATTGCACAAGGCCTGATACTACTACTAGTGTCTTGGGGCGAAAAAGTGACTAGGGTTTCCGCCTTTCGCCGACGGTCAGTTCCGTTGTCGATTTGCCTCATCTCGTGTGGCCTTATGGTATGAGGTCGTGGTGGATCCTTGCCTTTACCGATGAGAGAGCTTCGTTTGTAGGTGTTTTTTTGAATTTGGTTAGGGGTTGTGCCCTTTTTTGACAGCGGCGGCTATTTTAAGATGGGATAATCGTCTCAGCAGTGCGCCTAGCGTTGTTGTTGTTGTCTCTCCCTGGCTCGAGAGTCAGAACAGGTGAACGCCTGAAGCGGCACAGCCCACAGGTGTGCTTCAAGTAGCCACTAGGGAGAGACCGATGGGGATTTTAATCGGTCGCGACTGACAGGGGCAGCAGGAGAGTGTGCTCGGCGTTCGCCCAAAATCTGCCCGATCCTTTTTCCACCGACTCTGCCTCTTATTTTCTTTTTCAAACAAATAAAGATCGACCCATTCATCAGCGATCGAGACAGTACAAATAACATTAAAAATAACAAAAATTATATTCAGGTCCATAGACCAGCTAGCGACAAAATGCACGCAGGAGGCACGCGTGTCGCCGTCAACATCCCTCACCGGAGTTAGACAAATTTTGCTCTAGTAGACTCATCGAAAAGTTGTCATGCTAAGGCCCCGCGGAACCACCGCATCAGAACAACAGTCATCAAGAACTTCAAAAAAAGAAAACAATCATCGCCGATTAAGAGAATCGTAAATCGAACGGATCAAACATACGAACACATAGTGGACGAACGAAGACCGGATCCATGCAGACTAAGGCATAGCCTAGTGATCGGAAGGGGCTGATATCTTCCCACTCACTCAGGTTCAAGGCATGATACTTGCAATTTGGGTTTGTTGCACCAATTATACTGTAGGGGGTTCCCTTACAGTCTTTCTGTCAAAAAAAGACCGGATCCACCGACTAAATCCCGTGAGGTCTGTCGGAGACACCCCCCCCACACACACACACCACACACACACATACACACAACAACAACAACAACAACAACAACAACAACAACAACAACAACAACAACAACAACAACGGCGGTAGGCACACCGCTGGGACGAGGGCTAAGTGAAAAGAACTTTATTCCATCTTAAAATAGCCGCTGCTGTCAAAAGAGGGCACAAAGCCTAACCAAACTCAAAAAAAAAAACACCTGCAAATGAAGCTCTCTCATCGGTAAAGGCAAGGATCCACCACGGCCCCATACCATAAGGCCACACGAGATGAGGCAAATCGACAACGGAACTGACCTTCGGCGGAAGGTGGAAACCCTAGTCACCTTTTCACCCCAAGACACTAGTAGTAGTATTAGGCCTTGTTTTTAAAGAAACATATAAACTTTATTCATTTGCGATAACAAGTACATCGTTTATGAGGAGGGGTACAATTCCACTCAAGGGCTCTCAAACCAGTTCAAAGATGAAGAAAATCTAGCTAACTTAGCAAGTTCATGTGCGACCCTATTTGCTTCTCTATTACAATGCTCAAATTTAGTAATGGGAAAGTCACATGCTAAAAAATAACAATCGTCAAACACTGCCGCCACTGTACTAGATGACTGTCCTCCATTGTTCATGGTTTCGATAACCTCCATGTTATCTGAATTAATAACTAAAGCGGTTGCAGCCCGCCCTTTGAGCAATAAATAGACCATATCCAAGCGCCATAGCTTCAGCTGTCAGAACGCCCGTGCACCAATCAATTCTCCAATTCCCCTTGCAATGAATTTTCCTTTATCATCTCTCAAAACAGCATCAGCCGTGCCCCTGAGCCGGTCATGATCAAAAGAGGCATCCACATTAAGTTTTGCAAACCCCCTTGGAGGTTGGACCCAACCTTCTCTTTTCATTGTAGCCTTTGATGAAATAGCCAAACCATATTTTAACGTAATTGCATGAATTCCCATGAAGATCTGGTTAGCGTCTTGGATTTTCTCCTTATGGACCAGTTTTCGCCTCTCCCATCATAAATACCAAGTTGAAATTGCAATTAATTCACGGACATGCGGAATACCCAAGATCGTGAGCTCCCGTTCAGGCATAGAAAGCAAAAATTCAAGCACCGCCTCACCAGCATAATCAACTTCGTACGCTTTTTTAATGACCTGATCTAGACCCAGTTTTTTCCAAACCTCCTTTGCTTTCTGACACTGAAATAATATATGCTTTTGCATCCTCTGATCTAAAGGAACATCCGGACAAATTGGGGGTAACCTTTATATGTCTATTCGTCAAATTAACTCTACACGGGAGGGTGCCATGCAGCGTGCGCCAAATGAAATTTTTAAGCTTCGATGGACAAGATAATTTCCAAATCTCACTCCAAATAGGATTGATAGTCATATGTCCCATATCATCGGTTCTTCTTAATTTTCCCCCGTGTTGGTGTTCCCATTGCACTGCATAGGCTGATCGAACAGAAAAAGTTCCATTCTTTGAATAGCTCCAAGCGACAAAATCCGACATATCGTGTTGTGACAAAGGAATTGCAAGGACCCTTTGTGCATCAACTGGCCAGAACACCAAATTTTCGTCCCAATTACTAGTAGCAGGATCAATTAAATCAGATACCCTTGAGATCAAATTACTCCCTCTCGGGTGTGATTACTTTTTTATTTGCACAATTAGGAATCCAAGCATCTTCCCAAATATCAATGTTGTGACCATTTCCAACACGCCAAATATAACCAAGATTTAGACAATTAACCCCTGCCATAATTATTTTGCCAAGTAAAAGAAAAGCCCTTTGTTAGCTTTGTATTCAATAAATCACCGTTTGGGAAATATTTAGCTCTCAACACGGTCGTACATAAGGAGTCTTGATTCTCAATAATACGCCACGCTTGTTTTGCCAGCATTGCTAGGTCGAAACAATGAATATCCTGGAATCCCTAATTAAGCACCCCTCCTGTAGACCTAAGCACTTTGTGCTTAAAAAAACTCAATTTATGTTAGTAAGGACCTCCTTAAACACCTTGCATTGTACCGTCGTACGTGGCCTTACTTCCCAGCCAGAACACGGGGATCTGCCCATGTCACCTTTCATGGCATTGCCGGGGGAAAAAAATCTTTCATGGCATTGGCCTATGGTACCATCACACCTGCCCTTGCAGGTTCAACGTTACCTGCAAAAGAGAGACCCCAGCATGCTCGAGCACAAGCAGAATCCCATGCCACATACTACTGTAAAAGTAAAACTCTGATTTTCAGTTTGAACTTGCTATCCCTCTTCACCCTTGAACATTTGCCAAAGAGCAGAGCAGGGAGAGCTTCTGCGCCGGTTTATTTGTCTTTTTACATGCAGTCCAGCAAACACAAAGCACAACCCAAACATCTAGACACAGACTGACACACTACTATAACACACTCCTATCTTCTTCCCACAAAGGGCACACAGACAGACAGACAGACGACTCTCTTCTTCCAGTTTCGACAACACAAACAACTACAAACAGCACGGAGTTTCTTTCCCCCTACTACATCTACAACAGACTGACAGACAGACACATGCATCGCTGGGGGTTGGTTCAGGCTCTCCACAGCCTGCAGACACAGCTTCTTTCGCTCGCTCGCTCAGAGCCCCATCAGGTGGTCGAGGCCCCCGTGAGGGCCTCCCCCACCCATGCCGCCGAGAGAGCCCCCGCCTCCCATGCCGCCACCAAGAGAGCCTCCTCCACCCATGCCGCCGAGAGAGCCCCCGCCTCCCATGCCACCACCGAGAGAGCCTCCGCCGCCCATGCCACCAAGAGAGCCTCCGCCGCCCATGCCCCCAAGAGAGCCTCCCCCGCCCATGCCGCTGAGAGAGCCTCCTCCGCCCATACCAGCGTGGGAGCTTCCCCCGCCCATGCCGGCGATCGACATGTTGCTCAGCAGCTGCTGGAGCCACCGCCTTGTAACGTTGTCATCCTGCGTCCATGGGTAAAGATATAGGCGTCAGTAAACGATCCAAACTGTCCCGGTGCAGATATGTCAAGCTTGTCTATCTAGCTAGGGAAAGCACGAGCTGGGGAACACACAAGAAGGAAGTTGTTGAATGTCCCGTCCTTCAGCACGGTGGGGAGGCAACTGTTGAGCGCAGCACAAGCCCTGCATAACATCACATACAGAGACTTAGGAACTGCCAGTTATACAGGCTGTGATTTTGACAGATGTGCTACCATTACCAACCTCTGGTTCTCTGTCAGCCTGAGGTAGCAGCGGATTATGTGCTTCAGCAATCTTGCAGACGGCTGTTCAGCAAGCGCCTGGACCATCTGTGCTAAAACAGTGGCCACAGCAAAGAAACGCTCAGCGGTCGCGCAGATGTAACGCAGCCCAATGTCATCAAGCAGAATCTTTTGAACAATAAAGGTGGCCACCTGCAAGTAACAGTAACCTCGGCAGAGTTAGTGAGACTGATGCACTTACTACAGATCTCTCGGAGTAAAGAGATCCCAACAATCTAGTAAAAAGCTATCTATGGAAGCTTTAAGTACATCATGGCTCAACAACCAGTTTAGAGTTTCTTCTTGCCATCGACATCGTTATTTATTAGCTACCAACAAGGTAATTTAAATAATACAAATTTATAATAATTGTTAAAAGATAAAATACTCCAGTAAGGAAGATGAAAAGGATGAATGAAGCAACCTACAGAAGGCAGCTAGCACAGATAATCACAGCAATTCATACCATAACCAAATTAGGTTGCAGCATGATTTCAGTGTTGCACCATGCAAATTTCGCATAAGATTAATTAACCATGCCGATGCATTGTCAAAGGCTACAAAGCATAGAATCAGAACTAGATGATCATCATTAGACTTAGATTTATAAAAGGGGTTGAGTTCATACTGTTTTGGAAAGTTCACTGCCCATCTCCATAGTACGCAGACACAGAGGGATTATTTCAGTTTGAAGCAGAAACCCAATGACTTCAGAATCGTCAACCTGCATATATCAAAAACAAAGCAAAAGAAATACTCTTATGATATGCAAATCGAATATCCAAAAGAAGAAATAATAGAATTTCTAACAAATCATTAGCCTGTTTGGTTCAAAAATAATAGTTCCTGTTGGGATTCCTGGGATCCAATCCCAACTAGTCCATTTGATTAAAACGACTGGATTACTGGAATGAAAATACCAAAAGAACAAGATATAGTCTACCAAAGAAAAAATACAGCCAATCTCCATCACTGTTCAACCCTCTCACCATTTAAAGCAAAAAATCTATATGGACCATCCATTCCTAGTTTGCATAAGTATCTAGTTTTAATTTACCTTCACAAGAGCACCAATAACACCCAAGCTGGTAAGCCTCAAGTACTCAAAAGGTCTTGTCTTGCTGGTAGTATTCAGGAACGGGTACAGGTACAGTGGGATGTGAGCTGCAAAGGAAAAGAAAGAAGACTCAATTATTAACCACTGCAAGTTAAGATTTACTTATTCTGTAAAGTCATCAAAATGAGGAAAGCCTTTTAACAATAAACAATGGAAATATTTAAGACTTGGCATAGAAACAGTGGCACTCAGTACCATTCAAGAACGGGATCCTGGTGTCAGGGTGTGAAGCAACACACTGCATTAAAAAAAAGTAAAATGAAATTGAGGGGCGGATGGCAAGCAAGTATGATATGAAAGCAGTAGTATTCTCAATCCACCACAAGGCCCACCAGGAGTGAGGGTTTCCTTTTCTTTCTCATGTAAAAGCATACCTGAAGAAGTGCAAGTGCATTGCAGACACGGTTTGATGCAACTGGCGACAAAGTAGGAGGTGAAAGTGAAGGGTAGATTGACACAATCTCCTGCATAAATTTTCAAAACAGCAAGACAGACTGAATAAGGAAAATGTGCAGAACCATCAATAAATTTCATATTGAAAGAATCAATACACATGCACAACCACCCTAACTTAAATAACAAGAACTGCACAAGTACATATTTAGAACTGTGCAATAATTGTAACCTACCTGGAGCAGTGCAGCAACGGTGCCAAAGGAGTGCCACAGCAGTGGAGCAAGGTCTTGAAAAATCTCTCGCTTCTGAAAGAGGAAAACTGAGAAACAGATTAGACAATGAATTTTCACCTCCTGTGTCCCAGATTTGCTGCCATACTCTAAATGTTAAAGTAAAATAGTTCCATGTATCAACTGTCCAGTTTGGGATATTTTCTTTGGAAAGTTGATGTTTCACTAAGAAAAGAATGATGATGCTTGCATTAGTGGCTCATACCATGGGTTCACACTTTTGGTAGATAAAGAAGTGACAGAAGAAAATACTATACTAACTAAACTTCATCACTTATCTAGATAATCTGCAGAAGTAGAACAGACTATTTCTAACATATAAATGTCTTCCTATATAGTTTAAACTGTTTAGATTTCTTAACACCACCTCCTGATAAGTTTGCAAAGGCATCAATAGGACAGGATTTCACAAAGTTTACACTCCCCACCCACCTGTCCTTGAACAGGGTATCTCCACCAGATACTATAATTAAATGTGCACAGCCGAATACAGACCTTGCAGCCTGCTCCAGCACAAAAATATTCATTGGAAGTTCACTTTTACCAAGAAACAAATTCATCAGGAAGCAGGGGGGATTAACAAAGATACACTTCTTGTGGTATTCACTCCTAAGAGATTGTATATGATAACTGCAGTATTTTCCATTTTATTCAGGGGTACTATAACAGAAATGGGCACATGTCTTGTCGTATTCAATCCTAATAGAACAACATATAAGATAACGACAGCACTTTCCATTTTAATCAGAGCAAGCAGAACTAAAATGAATACAGTTATCCAATGCACACATCCAAACTGCCATCCAAGTGTGTCCAACAGAGATCGGCAACCATTCCCGCTACGGGTGCTAATAACAGGTACAGCATAGCACATGTTTAAAGAATGTATCATAATAAAAACTACAAAAATCACATACCAAACCATACTTGCTTTCGCTACATATCTACAAGTCTACAGCAAGCTAAAGGACTGCACAAAATCACCCAATTCTCTTCATACTCCAGATATGAGCAGGCAGAGTTGCACTAAATTACCAAACACCACAAGCAAGCCATAGAATCGCCCTAGGGAGATCGGAGAGCAACATTTCCATACCAAGCACGGATCAAAGATAACAGACAAAGACGGGCGTGCACTGATCTATACCCTATAACCTTAGATCACCACGTGAGCCGATTTACCCATAGCGAACTGCCCTGCAGCTGACATCAGATAGGTCATCAGGGTCCCGAATCTACTTTCGCCTAGACACAACATTGTACCACCAAGGTCGCAGCTTTACCAACCACCACATGACGCATACAGATCCCCCGATTCCCCACCGCAAATCCGAGACTTAAACATCCACCAGGAAGCTACAAACGCGAAATTTTAATCGACGGGGAGGGCTAGAGGGAAGCGCGGGCTTCTCCGCGGCGGCAGGGCGGGGGGCAGGGGGAGGAAACGACCTTGGAGAGCTCGAGGAGGGCGTTCTCGCGCAGCTCCGGGTCGCAGAGGTCGAGCACGAGCTGCTCCGCGGACACCATCTTCCGGTCCCTCCCCCCGGCGGGCGGCGCCGCGGCCGACGAGCCGGACGGGGGCGGGAGCGGGGGCGGGGAGGGCGCGCCGAAGGAGGGGCCGGCGGCGAGGGACGGCGGCAGATTCGCCATTGAGGAGGGTGAGAAAAAACTGAGGAGGTGGTCAGGGGAAGGAGGAGAGGCTGTGCCCCCCGGAGGGCAAGGTTATACTAGAAGCGGTATGCTACGAGGAGGGGCAGGACAGGGAATCGGCGGCGGTTTCCAACTTTGCTCCTTGTCTTCAAACGGAGACGAAATTTTCCCAGCCGTCCTTTCCAATGCCTTGTAATGGTGTTGCACGCATCCTACTCATCATGTTTGGAAGCTGCCATGGCGGCCAGGCATGAATTCGGCTCGACTCGTCGGCGGGCGTTTATCTCACTCCTTCCTCGGCGCACCTGCTCGCCACCTAATAATGTTTGTTGTTTTGTCCGGTGGGCGATTGTCCCACTCCTTCCTCGGTGCACCTGCTCGCCACCTAATATCGTTTGTTGTTTTGCCCGGCCGGCGTTTGTCCCCACTCCTTCCTCGGTGCACCTGCTCGCCACCTAACATTGGTTGCATTGTTTTGACGACCTCCGTCGACCTCACGCTTTCGAGACCTTTGTCGTCTTTATGTCGGCCTTCTCCTCCGTCATCGTAGCCGTCGACGTTTAATCTCCCTTGGGAATCTCCGGCGCCGGAGACGATAAGAGGAAGTGGCGTCGCCACTCAAGACATGTAGAGAAAACATTGAATTAATGGCCAGTGGGTTCAGGATGAACCCAATGACTCCTTTATCAATCATGAAACAAGTATTTTAAAACATGTAAACAATTGGTAAATGAATTCAATGTAAATTTCGAGCGATGTTGCTCACGATGAAGATCGATGCAGAAGAGTGGGTGAACGGTACCTTCATGTATTGATTTGTTGTTATCACTTTGTGCGTTGTCGCTCTTTTTACCTAACTCGATAAAAACGAGCGCTATATTCATGACTAGTCTGATATTTTGACGAACATGGAAACAATAGCATGATTTCAATATTATCTTTAATGTCCTCCTAAAAACATATCTTTAATGTAAGACCGACTTGTGAAGGACGATTAGCATCAAAAATAAGATTCTAACTTATTCTTGTCATACTCCAGACACAAGCACGCAGAGTTGCACTAAATTACCCAACATACCACAAGCTAGTCATGGAATCGCTATTGGGGGTCGGAAAGCACCATTTCCATACAAAACACGGAACAAGGAGTAAGAGGGAAAGACAAGATGTGCATTGATCTATACCCTAGAACCTAGATACCACATGAGCAGATTTGCCTACTTAATTGCACAACAACTCATATCGGATAGATCACCAGGGTCCCCAATCTACTTTCGCCTAAACACAACATTGCATCACCAAGGTCGCATCTTTACCAACCACCACACGACACATACAGATCTCCCGATTCCCCTCCGCAAATCCGACCCATAAACACCTACTAGAGATCTACAAAACGTGAAATCTTCCTCAACGGGGAGAGCTAGAGAGAATCGTGGGGCTCTCCGCGGTGGGAGGGAGGGGTGGGGGAAGTAAGCGACCTTGTAGAGCTGGCGGAGGGCGTCCTCACGCAACTCCGGGTCACAGAAGTCGATCACGAGCTGCTCCGCGGGAACCTTATTCCAGTCCTTCCCCCTAGCAGCCGGCGTCGCGGTCGACGGCCCGTACGGGGGTGGGGGCGGAGGCGGGGAGGAGGGGCCGGTGGCGAGGGACGGAGGCAGATCTGCCATTGAGGAGAGGAGGGAGTAGTGGCGTGAGGGGAAAAATGAGGAGGTGGTCAGGAGGAGGAGTAGCTCTGCCCCGCGAAGGGTGAGGTTATACTAGAAGCGATATCCTGTCAAGAGGGGCAGCCCAAAGAATCGACAGTCGTTTTCCACTTTGCTCATTTGTCTCTAAATATATGAAACATTTTTTTGGCCATCTTTTTAATGCCTTGTTGTGGTATCACACGCATCCTAAAACTTGCCATAGCAGTCAGGACATGAATTCAGTTGGACTAGTCGGTGGATCTATTTTTCTAGCCGTCCTTTCTAATGGCTTGCGATGGTATCACACGCATCCTAGAAGCTGTCATGGCAGCCAGGGCATGAATCCAGTTGGACTCGTTGGTGGATTCATTTCTCCAATTGTCCTTTCTAATGCATTACTATGGTATCACACGCATCCTAGAAGCTGCCACGGCAGCCAGAGCATGGATCCAACTGGACTTGTCAGTCGATGTTTGTCCCACTCCTTACTCATCCCACCTACTCCCCACCTATGGTTGTTTGCGTTGTTTTGCTGATCTTTGTCGATCTAACATTTCCCGAGACCTACTTCTTCTTTGTGAAGGTCTTCTTCATCATAGTCGTCTCTTATGAGTGATATTTTTACACTCCTCTACCCTTGGTTTAAACAGATATATTTCATTAAAACTGCTATATTCACTCCGATATTGCTACTAATGTCTAATGTTGGGGATATAACCCCACGGTGTAACCCGCCCAAGAGGGGCCGAGTTACATTGTTGGCGATTCATAAGTGAAAGCCTAAGTAGGCCCAAGAAGCCAAGACCTGAGAGACTGGAGGCAGCTTACAAGGTGGGCCAGTTGGAGGCCCAAGACCCGAAGATGGCACATAACCTGGAGGTGTGAGCCGCCCCATGGCGACTTTCCTAGCAAGGCAAGGTGACTTAGACTAGGGTCGGTTACATTATACGATCCGACCCGGACTCTTGTAAGCCTAGGGCCTCAACCTGTGTATATGAAGGCGAGACCCTGCGACGGGTTAACTCAAGTTACAATCAATCGAGAGCTAGGTTAAGCGATTCTGCTCCCTTATAATCGATACTCAATCAATACAACACCAAGCAGGAAGTAGGCTTTTACCTCCTCGGTGAGGGGCCAAACTTGGGTAAACTCGTGTCTCTCGTCCCATTCAACCCCTTTAAGCTAATCACCGTAGCCATGGCCTCGCACCTAAGTCCTTTCACGAGGGCATCTGTCGTGACAAAACCATGATAGTTGGTGCCCACCGTGGGGCCGGTGCATGGTGGTTTCGAGTTGTTGAAGGGCTCTTTCCCAGGGATCGAGGGACACGTCCTTGGCAGGATGACCAAGAGTCGCCGCAACAAGCTCTACATCGACGATGCTAGCTGGGGCCCTGAGGCCGACTCAATTGAATACGGGTATCGTGTCCCCTTCGGCAAAATTCACGTCTTCATCGGTAAGATCGGTGAAAGTGAAACTATCCCTGGGTGGTTTTGGTAATTCCTAACAACATATAGCTCATTGAACAAATGCTCTTTCAAGGTGATCATTTCAGAAAGTTCAATGATTGGCATGGCATGGACTAGGAATGTGGACCCCTCAAAATGCTAAGGACACATATTGGCTCAAGCTCAAGACTCTACATTTTCATTTTTAGTGATCCAAGTTCACATTGAGTCCATAGGAAAAGCCAATACTATTAGAAGGGGATGAGGTGTTGCTTAATGGCTTGCTTGCTCAAAATGCTTAGTGATATGCTCCAAAATCCCTCAACCACTTTCTCATACCCACATATGTCCCAAACCAAAAGTCAAACTCGGCCCCACCGATTTTATCTATCCGGCGCCACCGAGTTCACTTGACATAGCCACTAACAAAAACCCTAGTCAGTTCGATCTCACCGATAGGGATCTCAGTCTCACCGAGATGGGATTGCAAACTCTCTGTTTCCCTTCGTAACGTTTCGGTCTAATCGAGATGAGCGATCGGTCCCACTGAGTTCACAATGCAAACTCTCTGTTTCCCTTGCGTAACGTTTCGGTCTCACCGAAATGAGCGATTCAGTCCCACCAAGTTTGCCTGACCAACTCTCGGTTTGCCTATTACAGAAATTGGTCTTACTGAGTTTATGTGATCGGTCTCACCGATATTACGTTATGCCCTAACCCTAATGAAATCGGTCCCACCAAAAATCCTAACGTTCACACTTTGAACTAAATCGGTCTGACCGAGTTTCATGATTCGGTCTCACCGAGTTTGGTAAATTGCGTGTAACCGTTAGATTTTGTGTGGAGCCTATATATACCCCTCCACCCACTCCTCCATTCGTGGAGAGAGCCATCAGAACTTGCCTACACTTCCAGCATACATTTTCTAAGAGAGAACCACCTACTCATGTGTTGAGACCAAGATATTCCAATCCAACCACAAGAATCTTGATCTCTAGCCTTCCCCAAGTTGCTTTCCACTCAAATCATCTTTCCACCAAATCCAAATTAGTGAGAGAGAGTTGAGTGTTGGGGAGACTATCATTTGAAGCATAGGAGCAAGGAGTTCATCATCAACACACATCTATTACCTTTTGGAGAGTGGTGTCTCCTATATTGGTTAGGTGTCACTTGGGAGCCTCCGACAAGTTTGTGGAGTTGAACCAAGGAGTTTGTAAGGGCAAGGAGATCGCCTACTTCGTGAAGATCTACCCAAGTGAGGCAAGTCCTTCGTGGGCGATGGCCATGGTGGGATAGACAAGGTTGCTTCTTCATGGACCCTTCATGGGTGGAGCCCTCTGTGGACTCGCACAGCCGTTACCCTTCGTGGGTTGAAGTCTCCATCAACGTGGATGTACGATAGCACCACCTATCAGAACCACACCAAAAATCTCCGTGTCTACATTGCGTTTGCTCCCTCCAAACTCCTCCCTTTACCTTCATGTGCAATGTTTTTACATTCCGCTGCTATAATCTTAGACTAGCATGTGTAGGTTTATTGCTTGACTTGTGCTAAGTTGCTAAAATATGCCAAGACTTAAAATTGGGAAAAGGATAGATTTTTATTTGTTCAAGTAGTCTAATCACCCCCTGTCGGTGTCAAAACCGGCGGATCTCGGGTAGGGGGTCCCGAACTGTGCGTCTAGGCCGGATGGTAACAGGAGACAAGGGACACAATGTTTTACCCAGGTTCGGGCCCTCTTGATGGAGGTAAAACCCTACGTCCTGCTTGATTAATATTGATGATATGGGTAGTACAAGAGTAGATCTACCACGAGATCAAGGAGGCTAAACCCTAAAAGCTAGCCTATGGTATGATTGTTGTATGATGAAGTTGTCCTACGGACTAAAACCCTCCGGTTTATATAGACACCGGAGAGGGTTAGGGTTACACAAAGTCGGTTACAATGGTAGGAGATCTTGAATATCCGCATCACCAAGCTTGCCTTCCACGCCAAGGAAAGTCCCATCCGGACACAGGACAGAGTCTTCAATCTTGTATCTTCATAGTCCTGGAGTTCGGCTGAAGGTATAGTCCGGCTACCCGAACACCCCCTAATCCAGGACTCCCTCAGTAGCCTCTGAACCAGGCTTCAATGACGACGAGTCCGGCGCGCGGATTGTCTTCGGCATTGCAAGGCGGGTTCCTCCTCCAAATTCTTCATAAAAGTTTGTAAACACCAAGAGTAGTGTCCGGCTCTGCAAAATAAGCTTCCACGTATTGCCATAGAGAGAATAATATTAACACAAATCTAATCTGCTGACGTATTCCGCAGCGTGACATCACACTACGGCCAAGCCTTTATTCGAATCGTTTTCACTTCTCCACCCCAGCGTGTTTTGCGAGGCGGTTTCCTTGACACGTCTTGTCAAAGCAGAGATCATGTCCCCTTTGTTTACGAGATTCTCATTAATACGGACGTGGGTAACCCAACCGCACCACTTATCACGGCGCTTGGGAGGCAAGCGAGTTTTACTAGGCTGGTGGGGACGCATAGTCGCATCCGCCCATATAAGGGGATAAGGATCCACCTTTTTACCTACACCTTCTTCCTCCTTTGCCTACCCATCTTCTGCGCACCCGAGCTCCAGCGCCCAAGCCCGCACTTCCTACCTCAACCCTCTCCAACAATGTCCGGAGCGGGAGGCAAGTGGATGGTCTCCTCTGTTACGGAAGGCCATGTCAAAAGGTTAAGGAAGGCTAGATACTTGTCCAAAGACATCGCGCACCGGCTTCCTGAGGAGGGGAAGCTTCTCCCCACCCCAAGGCCCCATGAAAGGGTAGTATTTCTTCCCCACTTCCTCTGCGGACTGGGTTTTCCTCTCCACCCATTTGTCCGTGGGCTCATGTTCTACTATGGCCTAGATTTCCACGATCTGGCCCCGAACTTCATCCTCAATATCTCAGCGTTTATCGTCGTGTGCGAGGCTTTCATTTGCATTCGCCCCCATTTCAGCCTCTGGTTCAAGACCTTCAACGTCAAGCCAAAGGTGGTGCGCGGCAACCAGGCGGAGTGCGGAGGTGCCATGGCAGGCAAAATTGCCAACGTCCTATGGCTAGAGGGCTCCTTTGTGGAGACCTTGAAGGGGCGGCAGTCAGGGTGGTTTTACATCACCGAGCCACGCGATCCGAAGTGGATCGCAGCCCCTGAATTCTGATCCGGACCCCCTACACGGCTCACGTCCTGGAAGGAGACGAGCTTGTCATGGGGCGACAAAGAAGAGTTGACCGGACTGCAAAAATGCATCCAGTCCCTGGTGAACAAGCAGCTCAAGCTTGTCAACGTAATCCAGGTCATGCTCGTCCGCCGGATCCTTCCATGTCAAGAACGGGACTTCAATTTGTGGGAGTTCAACCCAGCGCAGCACCGAACTCTGAGCAGGCTCTTCGACACAACGTACGAAGATGTCTAGAGGGGGCTAACCAAAGGCGCCGAGGCTCCCACATCCGCCTCCGAAGACCGCGGATTCAGCTCGCAGCGTCCTGCTGGCGAG